AACGTGAAAAGGCAAAAAAGAGTGCACAAAGAGATCTGTGTCTGTATTACGGGGCAGAACTTTAAATACCATTGAGGATTGGGGTAAACGCATCGGTTGATTTGTTATTCTCATCTAGTATAGTATATAGCGCTGCGAAGAACGATGAGCGTACGTACCCATCATATAAGCCATTTTATCAGGATAAGGCTGGCCTAGTCCTACCGAGCTGTGTGGAGTGCATACATCTGTATTCTAAGTTCCGTTCGAACGTAACGCAACGTAAGGAAGAAAAGAGAAGGCGGTGACGATCAACTGAACTTGTGTAGGACCGTGACCTATGGAGAGCCTCCAAGATGAACAATTGATGCAAGTTTGTATCACATATCTCTTTTTCTTTGAGTCCTTGAATGTCTTCGAATTTGGAGATGCGCGAAAACTTGAGTACTGCTCTGTGTACAGTTGTGCCATTGCACAGCTAGAGTTCCCTTGATTTTATTGTCGGGGGGATTGGAAGACAGTGAGATGTATAGGCGGCACTACCTCTACCTTATGGTGGATTTGGAAGTTTTGCCTTTGTGCGAAAAGAATAAGGAAGGGCATCGCGTTATGCTGTATATGGAGTATCATTGGAAAAGAGAGAGTAATGGCGCTCATAGAAGATGGAGTAGTCACTTTAGAAATTTGCTGTATATTAAGAAAACAGTAGAAGGAGGACCGAAGAGTTTGTCTGATTAGAGTAGCCGTGGCGAATAAGAGGACAGAAGAAAAAATAATACTTGTGTGACAATTTCAGAAAAAGAGTCGAAACAAAGGAAAAGTTGATTTGCTATGGCTTTCCTCCGCCATTATTGTTCATTTCGCCTTAACTAGAAGAATTCCAAACTTCCGTAAATCCCCTTCTCAGCCCTTATCTCCGATGTAGTGGGCGTTGCTACACGATATTGCCTGAGACAAGCTTAGAAAGTTAAGTTTTGCTTCTAAAGATACTTCGAACAAATATGAAAGGCATTTAGTTCGCTACTGCTATGTTCTCACGCCCGGTTGCGCTGCTTTCTCTGTTGGCAGACGAAGCTTTACCAAAGCTGTTTATCGACGCCTTGCAGTGGCTGATGAAATCACTGGATTGGAACGAGAAAATTATTAGGGTTGATGGAAAATTTCTCTCAAATCTCCGTTTTGCGGACGACATTGTTCTCTTCTCGATGAATATGACTGAGGTGGAGACGATGTTGAAAACTAAACGAAGTAAGGAAGGGGAAGGAGTGCGAATTAACCGACAGAAGAATCACTTCATGAAAAACGCTTTTTGCGAGGATCAGGAAATGGAATTAGAGGGCTGTCCAATCGCGGTCTTTTTACGTATATCTCGGATGTTTAAACATGGAGAACAGTCCGAAAGAGGAAATAAATAGGAGGCGGTCAGAAGAGCAGTCTGGGCCAGCTTCTGACCCCTAAAGGAAGCCACAGACCAACTAGGGACCCAGAGCTCTAAGCTCACCTGTTCGATACA